CGGGCGGGGAGCTGATGGGCTACAGTGAGTGCGGGGCTGCCGCCCGCCCGGGGCGGTGCGGGTGTGTGGGTGCGCGGGTGTCCCCCCGGGATTCGTCCCTGCGGCCAGGCCTGACCTCCTCGGTGTCCGGCATCAGGAGGTGAAGGTGCCGGGCGGGGGGTTCGCCTTGTCTTTCCAGGGAAGGGGCTGGGGCTGAGTGTAAAATCCTTCTTGGCTGTGTCATATCCCTGTTTTTCAGAAGTCATTCCGAGTAGAGCTGCTGGTTTGTTCATTGCTTCCAGGTTCCACACGCCCCTCCCCACCCCCCCTCCCTTTTTTTTTTTTTTTTTTTTGCCAGGGGGGGTTTGTGTGCAAAATGAGGCTCTTTGCAGGGACCTGGGAAATAAAGTATTTGACATAGTAAACCTTAAAACATCTAACATAGTAAGCCTTAAAGCATTTTCTGTACAGAAGGTTTCTCCATACCCACCACATCGGTTGCTGATTAGCAGTGACTGTGATGTGTATCAGTCTGGAGGTGTGGATATTCACAGTGAGCACTGGTCTGGCTGTGTGGGAAGGAGAGGAGCTACAAACCCCCTGAAACAACATCCTCTGCTTTTTGATTTTTTCCTTCTTAAACACACCGTGTTTGCAGGGCCTCAGCTTTCTATTGCCAGGTAGGCAAAGCTGCCCAAGCTCTGTTCCCCACTGAGCACCAAAAGTCTCCACTGTTTGCCAGGATGGTGATTTAGTTCGGGGCTTCTGTCCCACAGTTCCTGTTACTTTAGTCAGATTCTGAATTCTGCTCCAAGATGCACAAGAATTGCTTAAAATTGGCGTTTAGACATCACGCTTCAAACAGTGACTTTGCAGAAGCATATGTATGTTTTACACTAGTCAGTGAATTCCTGCAATACTTTAGCAAAAGGACGTTTCTCGCGGCTGCTGCGCGTGCGGTGAGGTGTCATCCCTGCGGGGGGAGCAGCGCCCCACGAGCTGCTCCCTGCCCGCAGTCATGGGGAAGGCCGAGGGCTCGGTGGCTCGCGAGGAGTGGCATGGACACGTTACTGCTCTCTCTGTTGCACCAGAATTCCGTCGCCTGGGCTTGGCTGCTAAATTGATGGAGCTGCTGGAGGAAATTTCAGAAAAGTGAGTTCTATGCTTATTTTTAATTTTGTATTTTAAATAATCTTTCTACAGCAGCCCATCGTAGAATCATAGGTGTTGGCAGGGACCTCTGAAGATCATCAAGTCCAATCCACCTGCTGCAGCAGGAACACCTTGGACAGGTCACTCAGAAACGCATCCAGATGGGTCTTGAAAGTCTCCAGAGATGGAGACGCCACAACTCCCAGGGCAGCCTGTCCCAGGGCTCTGTCACCCTCACAGGAAAGAAGTTTCTCCTCACGTTGAGGTGGAACTTCCTATGTTGTCACTTGGTGCCGTTTCCCCTCGTCCTGTCACAGGCACCACTGAACAGAGACTGGCCCATTCTTGACATCCACCCTGAGAAACACATTCACCCACTGTTCCTTACTGTGTTCTCCTGGGTTTTATGTTTTCACAGGAAGGGTGGATTCTTTGTCGATCTCTTTGTGAGGGTGTCGAATCAGGTTGCAGTGAACATGTACAAGCAGCTGGGCTACAGCGTCTACCGCACGGTGCTGGAGTACTACTCTGCCAGCAGTGGGGAGCCAGATGAGGATGCTTATGGCAAGTACTTGTTCTGCCTCAAGTTGAGTGGAAAGGTTCTCAGGCTGAGGCTTTCTGGGTTTGTTTCTACAATTTTTCTATTTTTTTTTTTAAATATGGACCAAGTTCAGA